CACCCCTGGTTGATCCCCTTTTTTTTGTGGCAGCCCCTTAGATATTGGAACACTGCTATTGTGTCATCCTAGTCCTCCTTCTGGTTTTTCCTGCCTAAATGTTTTCTCTACGTTGAATTTCATTTTGATAGAGAGGGCCCAGTGTTCAAGTCTGTCAAGAGCAAATTAGATGAGTTCCCCATCTATTTCCTCATCAAAATCTAATCCATGGAGTCAGCTAAGTTTCAAACATGATTCATTTGAACCAGGGATGAAATCCAGCAGGTTCTTACAGGTTCTGGAGAACTGGTAGCAGAAATTTTGAGCAGTTCGGAGAACCGGCAGCAGAAATTTTGAGTAGTTCGGAGAACCGGCAAATATTACCTCTGGCTGGCTCCAGATGTGGGGTGGGAATGGAGATTTTGCAGTATCTTTCCCCCAGGAGTGGGGAGGGAATGGAGATTTTGCAGTATCTTTCCCCTGGAGTGGGGTGGGAATGGAGAGTTTGCAGTATCTATCCACTGCCACTCCCACGAAGCCATGCCCACCAAACCACACCATGCCCACCAAGCCACACCATGCCCACCAAGCCACGGCCACAGAACCGGTAGTAAAAAAAATTGGATTTCACAACTGGTTTGAACCCTCCTCTCTTTGAAACAAGTTCCATTATTAAGAGCAAGCTTTCTTTCCTTGTCCATCTGAACAACGTTAATAACCAACAGGATGTGGGCAGGAAGGAATCTCCAGCGCTCCAATCACCATGGTGATTAGTTTTCACTGAACAAATTTAGATGGTCCACACAGCTGACAGATACGATTGGATGCCGGCCAAACCCTACAAGGGATGAAGCTGGACTGGTGTTAGCAATGGTGTGAAGAATTCTGAAGTATTTCAGGGTCTATTTTTAGTTAATTCACCATCCATCATTTATTGTAATGGCACAACGGTGTCTCTAAACTCTTTCTTTTACCACTGCTGTGCCCTAAAATGCTGGCTTCTCTGAAAACTCCTACCTTTTGTGCCAATGTCTAGAAAATGAAGGAAGGGAACGATGAATCGCTACGACCATTTTCTATTCCAATGTACGGAGGTAGAGAAGGAGAAAAAAAATGCAAGGGAAAACAAGGATTGTTCAATGCAAAACCAAGCCAAACACTATCCATTGAACCAAGCACCCCCTCCCCCCTTGTAAAGAGTACAGGTCGTCCTCAACTTACGACCACAATTGAGCCCAAAATTTATGTTGCTTAAGTGAGAAACTTGTTAAGTGAATTTTGCCTCATTTTGCTACTTTTCTCAGCACATTTGTTAAGTGAATCACTGAAGTTCTTAAAATAGAAACGTGGTTGTTAAGTGAATCTGGTTGTCCCATCGACTTTGCTGGTCAGAAGGCTGCAAAAGGAAGTCACATGACTCCGGGCCATTGCATAAATGTGAGTCAGTTGTCAACCATCCGAATGTAAATGAGGTGACCCTGGGGATGCCACAACGATCATAAATGTGAAAAACGGTCATGTCACTTTTTTCAGTGTCATTGTAACTTTGAACAGTCACTAAATGAACTGAACTACTCCTGTAAGCTAGGTTGAGGTTTAGTAGGAGAGTGACCAGCCCAAAGTCACCCAATGAGCTTTCTTGGATCTCCTCAATCTTAGTCTACCACTTTAAGTATTGTACCACACTGGATCTTATTCAGGGGTGAAATGCTCCCGGTTTGGACCGGTTCGCCTGATCCGGTAGGGATGGCGGCACGTGGTTCAGAGAACCGGTAGCAAAAATCCTTCCCCATCCCCATGCCCAGCTGAACCGCGCAATCATCAGAGGCTTTTTATTTTATTTTTAAAAGCATTTTTTCTACATCCTCTTTGGCCGAAAATATGCTTTTAAAAGTAGAAACAAAGCCTCTGCCGATCAGGCATGTCAGCTGGGATGGTCAGAAGCTTAAAAAAAAAAGAAAAGAAAAGCCTCTGCCGATCAGGCAAGTCAGCTGGGATCGTCAGAGGCTTTTAAAAGCATTTTTTTACAACCTTTTCAGCCAAAGAGGTAGAAGAAAAAAATGGTTAAAAAAAAAAAAAAAAAAAAAAAAAAAAAAAAAAAGGTTGGCCACGCCCACTCAGTCATATTAACCCTCCCCCCCACCAAGCCTCGCCCACAGAACCGGTAGTAACAAATTTTACATTTCACCACTGATCTTATTTTAGGACAGGAAAAACAATAATCAAAGACCTGAATACAATTGTGAACCCTAAATCTTCGTCATCTTCTGGCTAATGTTCTCGGTTTGGTGCTTATGGGCAAACTGTGTGATCGTAACTGACGTTTTTCTATGAAAAGAGGCGAAGGTGTATTCTGATTGGTCGACAGTGTTGTTGTATTCTGATGGGCTGATGACGTAGCTGTATTTTGATTGGGTGGAAGCGCTGTTGCTTGGTTGTGGGTCAATGGATAAGTTATGCTGGAACTGGTGGCAACACAGGCATTTTGATGAACCTTTGATCTATGGTTTATATTTTGTGTTAAGATTCGTCTGTCTATGAGAGCAGGTTTCCAAATAGTAGGCAGATGGGAAGTGGAAGTATACCAAGCAACAGCGCTTCCACCCAATCAAAATACAGCTACGTCATCAGCCAATCAGAATACAACAACACTGTCGACCAATCAGAATACACCTTTGCCTCTTTTCATAGAAAAACGTCAGTTACGATCACACAGTTTGCCCATAAGCACCAAACCGAGAACATTAGCCAGAAGATGACGAATGCGATTTCGTCGAAACGTCGCTACTACCCTTTTAAGGATATGTTTACAATTACACAGGAAGACACACATATATACCCGTGAAAACTTACATAGACATATATATATATATATACATTTTAACATCTTTCAACATAGGAAAAAACCCTGATTGCAAAAAATATCGCACATTTATACCTATGAATTAAAAGAAATAAATATTTGACCTCTACAGGGAGGAGTCATAAAATATGGGTGTGTCTGGCTGAAGAGGTCCAAGAAGGCCGAAATAGTGCTATCCCAGTCTCCCATAAGTCTCAGAAGAAACAACATAAAATGTCTGACAGGCCTGAAAGCGATGAATAGAGATTTCATCCCACCATGGCCATTTTAACATCTTTCAACATAGGAAAAAACCCTGATTGCAAAAAATATCGCATATATATACATATATATATATATACATACAACAAGAAAATTATTTCCACTTCCCCAAACTGAGGAAAATCTTTACCCTACTCATATGGGAGACCAGGTTCATCCACTCTGCATCTTCTCCAGCCTGGCTCCTACCACCCCTAATGTTAAATGCAGTTCCACCCATCAAAATAATATCCATTCCAGCTCTATTCTAGCATTTCAACATTTTGGATCTCCTCAAGGGGAAGCATTTTATAGTTCTTAGAGGAAAAGGATGTGACGTTCCCGGAATCAAAACTTGGAAATAGCGGAGAAAGAGCACTATAAATTTCCAAACCTAATTACCATTTAAAGCTTTCCTACTAGGTCACCCTTCTTCTGGATTCAACATCATTGCATTTCATTCTGAGGAATATCTCCAGAGTACAGATGCTTCAGGCAGTTCTTTGATGGAGACAGAGACCCCCATTACATTTTGCTTTGGCAAAAGAGCAATAATATCTATTAATTTAGGATAGTCTTAAATTGCTAATCTACTCAAAGACATGCATGGGGATGGCCAGCATTAAGGTTACAGTTCATTTCCCAATGAAGCTGCTTGGCTAATGTCAATGCAACCCATCCTCAGAAGCATGTTTTGGCTAATCTTTTACATCATTTACCTATTGAAAGAAGAACATTGATGCTTCATCTTACATAATAAACATAAGTATAACAGAGTATTTTTTAATATCCTAAGGAATGATGGGAGTAATGTACAAAGACTACAGATAGATTTGTTTTGATGCAGGATTTGAAAGGCAAATTTAAAAGGCAATTTAGCGTCTTCCAAATGTTTGGGTTGACAGTGCTTACAAATTCTTACTTCTGACCATGTTGGCTGTGGTTGATGGAAGCAGATTTCCCAAAGCTTTAGAAGGGATCCTGTTATCTCCTTCTGTTTCAGATTATGGACTAATTTGCATATCAAATTAAATAATGGTTTAGCGTTATAAGAATGAGCTGCAGGAAACCTTCCATCTCTACTTCTGGCTCAGACAAGAAGAAAGTTTAGAAGTTTAGATTAAATCCCAGTCTATCATGATATCAAAACATGGATCAATTATGGTCACTTTTCATGCTTTCACTGAAACACATCAGATTTAAACCACAGAAATTATGTGGGCTTAATTCAGCCAACAGTCATCATAATGTATGGTTTGGAGGACTCATCCTGCCTCAGATAATCAATAATGGAAAACTGAAGCTTAGCTATCTTTCTACAACTATGCAGAAGGAAGGAAGAGAAAGGAGAAACTTGCTCCTAAGACTCACAACAACTTATATTTGTCATTGTAACATACACAATATGTTCAACAATCCAGATATTATTGAATTTCCATCATTTATGTGGCCTATAGTAAAGGAAAATGCTGGCCATGAGCTTTCTGGTCATATTTCAAGAGGACTTGAGATTGTGGGAGATAAAAGGAAAGAAAGAGAGAAGGGAAAGATGGACGTCTGCCCAAAACTAAGGGAACCTTGGCAGAATCTGATAGGCACAAGTGTTCTCAGAAGCTAAGCAGGCCCGGAATTCTGGAAGAAAATACCTCCTTACACAGGAAACAATTTCAGAACCATTTGTAGCCTGATCTCCACAATCAGTAGAAGAAAGATGCCAACTACAGAATGCCTGGCACATAATGTAGAAAAAACAGGACATTTTGGTCCAACCACACCCTGGATGGCTGTATATTATCAATCACAGTGTCCTCTTTATCCATAATGTATGAAGGGAAAAACCACAGACATATGTAGACTCATCTTCCTGAATGTAGGGAGTCCAGTTGATCAGAGTAGCAAAGTCAACATCTCTCCTTACCTTCAGGCTCATTCTTGATCATCTCCTCCATCTTCCTCTGTTTGAGAGTGTCTACCACATCTGCTAGGCTTCCTTTACGCCGTTCAGGAGTTCCCAGAGTCGTGCTGGAAAATGATTCTCCGCTCTGACGCCCACCTTCGTCAGCCTTCGAGGGGGAGGTAGATGAGTTATGTGGGGCAAATGAAGACATCACTTTATTGCCATCAACTTCCTGGAAAGGAAAAGAAGGTCATATGTAGTAGCAACTTAGAAACATGCAAACACACTTGCATGTACACTGGCAAAAAATATAAGGAAGGCCAGTCCTTGAGGGAAGGGCTTGGTTAATTATTATTTGTATATAAATGAACATTTACTTCAAGGAACTAGTTGTGATGATGGGGTGGTTGAAGGGGGAAAAAATACAGAATCAAAGATAAAATAAGATTACAGGATTAAATGAGAAAAAAAATTAGGAAAAGAAACATTTATATGTATAGCATGTGTGTATCTGTGTGTATATACGTGTGTGTTTATAGACACAAACACAAAGAGAAATGAGTTCTCCAAATGAGAACTTTTGATTTCTACAGAGGAATTATTGAGTCTGTCATCTGCATCTTCATAACTGCCTGGTTTGATTCTGAAACCCAACAAGACAGACACGGACTTCAGAGGATAATTAGAACTGCAGAAAAAACAATGGCTACCAACCTGCCTTCCATGGAGGACCTGTATACTGCACGAGTCAAAAAGAGGGCTGTAAAAATATTTACAGATCCCTCGCATCCTGGACATAAACTGTTTCAACTTCTACCCTCAAAACGACGCTATAGAGCACTGCACACCAGAACAACTAGACACAAGGACAGTTTTTTCCCTAACGCCATCACTCTGCTAAACAAATAATTCCCTCAACACTGTCAAAATATTCACTAAGTCTGCACTACTATTAATCTTCTCATCGTTCCCATCATCCATTTCTTTCCACTTATGACTGTATGACTGTAACTTTGTTGCTTGTATCCTTACAATTATATTGACTGTTTCCTAATATGATTTGATTGCTTATTTGTACCCTATGACTATCATTAAGTGTTGTACCTGCGATTCTTGACGGATGTATCTTTTCTTTTATGTACACTGAGAGCATATGCACCAAGACAAATTCCTTGTGTCTCCAATCACACTTGGCCAATAAAGAATTCTATTCTATTCTATTGATGTTCATTAGTTTTCCAATAATAAGGTTATAGATTACCTTTAATTGTTTGCTTCTCTACAGTGTTTAATGGTCAACCTTAACAGATCTTTTCTTCCTTTTTGCTGAATAATAATCTATATCTAGTTTGTTTTGTTTTGTTTTCTTTTATGCAGAGCTTAGTATCAGGATAAAGGTTCTTGAAAATGAAACACTCAGATGCTAAATGCCCAGTTCTGTTTTGGCGTCTTCCAAAGTTTTCCCATCTCAACATACCCAGGCCATGTGCACACACACAAACATTCACACACATACACACCAGGGGTGGGTTCTAAATTTTTTTACTACCGGCGTGTGGGCGTGGCTAATTTTGTGGGTGTGGTTTGATGGTCATGTGACAATTCTCTAGGATTTAGCAGAGGTACTGATTTTAACTGATTGCAGAGCTGTACTGGTCTACCCATTTGTTTTTCGAGCACACTGGTCTACCACCACACTGATCAGCTGTAGGGCGGCCCTTTGAAGCCTCGCGGCAAGAGTTTAAACAGTTTTTTTCCTTCCAGCCGATCAGCTGGGACTCGGGAGGCAGCGAAAAATTGGGAGCAGGGCCAAATAAAAGGTAAGAATAACGTGGGGGGGAGGGCCCAGCTCCCAAACAAAGAGAACCGGTTCGGTGATGTCATATCGTCACCGCTACCGGTTTGACCGAACCGGCAGGAACCCACCACTGATACACACATGGATGGCTATAGGATATGATTAAAAATAGTGTTAAAGATGGTAGCTATGCTGGTCTGACTGAAACTGTCAAGCGCAAAGAATTATGATCATATGTTAAGTGGCAGTTAAGAAGCTTAACTGAGCAAGCCCGTACACCAGAATCTAGTCAACTAAGGTCCAATACTAAATTGGCACCAGGTAAAGGTTAACTGAATTGAAGAGGTGTTCAACTGAAGACTGTTTGCGGCAATGTATCGACTCTAGGCTGATGACTCACTTAACTCTACCACCCAGATCTTTTTGCTCCTCTCCTACATCAGATCTACTTTTTTAAAATCTGTGTTTCTAATTTATTCTCTTCCTTGCTCCAGTCCCATATCGTTCTTCGGTATTTTTTTTTTTCAAATAATTCTTTTAAACACAAAGTTTCTGATACGTAGATGATCATAATGATGCTTGCAAATGCCAGGCCAAATGAAAAGCATCCTTCTCTCCAATAAAGGTGAGATCTGACTCTCATTAAAGTCACCAAGCATATTCTCACCTTATTTTAATAGATTTGACTCTTAATAGCCACATTCTGGTTTGTCATGATGAAACCATAATTCTTCACACCTTCTGATATTTCAAACGTGGCTTCGCTCCCTCTGTGCCATCCTTCCCTTTTGGCCCTACGTTGCTCCCTTTCTCTTTTTCTTTGCAAATTTTCTTTTAGTTTCTTGCTGTTAGCATCTCTTAAACTGCCTGTTTTGTTGGTGGCTATAATTGTCTTCTTATGGTCTTTATGCATAACTGAGGTGGGGCTCTTTCCCTTTAAAAAAGCTGCAGCACAACATATATTAAATCTTAAAATTGCTGTAAGAATCCTTGTTTTAATGGCTCAACTAGGGTTGGGTTTCATATTTTTCCAGCTTCAGGACACTTTTATCCCATTTCTGCTTTAATTTGCAATTTATTTTAAAAAAATAACTTCATACAGAAATCTGTAAGCTTTTGGGACCTCACATCTCTATAATACAAACTGCTTTTAATAGACCATATCATAAAACATAAAATAATAGGGTTGGAAGGGACTTTGGAGATCTTCTAATCCAACAACTGTCCATGGCTGGAGGTCCTATACCAGTGATGGCTAACCTTTTTGCCGTCACATGCCAAAAGCAGGGGGAGCGCAGGGGTGTCGCACACACGTGTTCCCACACTCATAATTCAATGCGCTCTGCCCCCCGTGCATGCGCACGTGACCCCCCCGCGCTCCCTCTGCTTTTGGCACATGATGGCATGGTGGGCCTGGTAGGCCCGTTTTTCGCCCTCCCCAGGCTCCAGAGGCTTTCTTGGAGCCTGGGGAGGGCAAAAACAGCATTCCCCAACCCCTGGAGGCCCTCCGGAGACTGGAAACGGCCCATTTGCCGACTTGCGGTGGGACAGGAAGGCCCATTTTTCACTCTCCCCAGGCTCTAGAGCCTTTCTAGGAGCCTGGGAAGGGCAAAAACAGCCTTCCCCACCCCCCCGAGGCCCTCCGGAGGCTGGAAACAGCCCGTTTGCTGAGCTAGGAAAACACTCACATGCTCACCAATATGGCTCCATGTGCCACCTGTGCCATAGGTTTGCCATCACGGCCCTATACCATTCATGAGAAATGCCTCTCCAGTCTTGTTGAATACTTCCAGTTTTGGAGCACCCATAACTTCTGGAGGCAAGCCGTTCCATTGATTAATTGTTCTCACTGTCAGGAAATTTCTCCTTAGTTCTAGATTGGATCTCTCCTTAATGATCTTCTACTTGTTACCTCTTGTAACCCCCTCTTCTCTATGACAGCCCCTCAGTTACTGAAAGACTGCTATTATATCACCGCTAGCCCTTCTCTTCATTAGACTAGTCATATCTACCATATTTTTTGGAGTATAAGTCACACCCAAATTTTCACCCTCTTTTAGGGGGGTGAAAGTGTGTCTTATACACCAAATGTAGCCCCCGCCCACCCGCTGGCCCCCACCGTTTGGCCTCTGCCTCCCAGCAATTTGCCTCCTTGCAGCAAGCAGCAAACAGCAAACACCCCATTTCAGCTTCAGCACAGCCTGGTGAGCACCAGCAGCTGATTGTCGGTTGGATCGGCCTCCTGACTCTCAGCTGTTTCAGTCGCCGCTCGGACGTCCGCTGTTTGCTGCAAGGAGGCAAATTGCTGGGAGGCTGATTTTTTTTTTCTTCTGCTAATCAGGCTGTGCTGAAAATGAAAATGGAACTAAAGCAGGCTGTTTGCTGTTTGCTGCAACGACTCAAATTGCTGGGAGGCAGAGGCAGATTCTTTTTCTTGTTTCCCTCCTCCAAAAAGGCAGGTGCGTCTTATAGTCCGGAGCGTCTGAAAAATACGGTAATTCCATTCATAACTTTAATTATGCCAAAAAAGAATAAAGGTACTCTGCCCGTTTGTCTTTGAGCACATACAAGATTCCTTTAAACATTTGGCTCTTCCTTGACAAAATTCACAGGTTTTGGGAATCTTAAGGTACAATAAGCTCAACTTTTTTATGCTCGCCCATCCTCTAAACTAAGATTTTAATCCTGGCTTCCTTTTGTTTCTGGGAACTACAAACATGATTAATCTAAATTAAGTATTCAAAGTAAGAACAACCAATTCATTGACACTTTATTCTCAAGTTTCTCCCACTAAGGCAGCATTTAACATCCAGCTGCCTGCAATTACTGCAAGATCAATTCTCACCAGGCTCAAGGTTGACTCAGCCTTCCATCCTTTCTAAGGTGGGTAAAATGAGGACCCAGTTTGTGGGGGCAATAAGCTGACTTTGTATAAAATATACAGAAGTATGAAGGCTATTGCTTAACGCATTGTAAGCCGCCCTGAGTCTCCGGAGAACGGCGGCATATAAAAATAAATAAATAATAAATAAATAAATAAACAAACATTTAATATTAACTTTCTAACATTAATCTAAGTTTTCTAAGAGAGCAAATGATAAAAAGCACAATTCCCTTGACATACCAAAGAAGCAATGCCTTTGAGTTAAGCTTGATTCTTGTTTAATATTTTTGGTGGCAATTACGGAAATCATTTTCAATCATCATCTTTCAGAGATGGTTCTTGAGGTTTCAATATAGCCCACAATCCTGAAAGTCCCCCATCCAAATATTAACCAAAGCCTACCCTGCTCAGCTTCTGAGAACATCTGAGACCAGCTGGATTAGATGGTCCCATTTATTAAGAAGGAAGAAGAATTTATTAGGATTTATTATTTATTAGAATTCAGTTATAATTTGTTAGAACTCATCACTTATTATTAATACAAAAAAAT